AGCAGTGTTTTGACCCAGTATGACGTCCACCTACTGAGGACAGACTTTCAGAGAGCATAGTAAAATTGTGGCAGATAGACAGCCTTTGCTTTACCATCACTAAAGCATTACCATTAGTTCAAGAAAGGTTAAGGAGTTACAACGCTTACAATATGAAGCATCTGTAAGTTGTTGCTATTCTACAACATATCTTGAATGCTCAGCAATTATCAGTACAATTTCAGCCACAGGGCTTGTATATGTGTTTTAGAACTCTGCCTCACAAGGCTGTCTTTATACTGACATTCTGGTATGGACAATTGCTTCTGAACTTCAGGCACACCTTGTCAGTGGGTAAGCGGGAGAAATTCAAGTTCCAGATACACCACTAGGTAGGCAGGTATCCTTGGGTTACACTAGCACATAAGCATATCTATGAGTCATCTTAAAAGAGCACACTCACTTAATAGGCTAAAACAGATATTCCTATATGTAAGATCTTAATATTAATAAGGCTGTTTAGCTGTCAAGATACTCCAGAGAGAGCTGCACACATTTTTTTATTGAGACACCTCTCTGTCTCTACAGGGAGAGATCTTTTCAGAACTTCCCCCATGTAGAGAATCTTGACCTATCATCCAGTAGTTCATATAAACTATTAACTGGTGTTTGGTTTTCTGTTTTTTTTTTTTGTTTTTTTGTTTTTTTTTTTCCCCCCACCCTATAACATGTGGAAAGAGCACCCAGTCTGCTCTATACCAATACTATTCTAGAGAGGCTGTAGAAAGCAGTTAATTTCATTTATTGTACTATGGTAACCACATTAGATGCCTCTGTTGATATGCTTATTTGATATACTTGGTGTTATTCTAGTTCTGCTCATTTTCTTCTCTCATGATGAAATTTGAAATGTCTGTTGGATTTCAGGAGAGCTTGTGTTACATTATCACAGTTGGGAATATATCTCAGACAAATACCAATCCTCTACTCTCACTTCCAAATGCATACACACAGCACTAATGAACACATAGGCAATACTATGTTGTTGGACAGTCTGAAGCAGAACTATTAAAGAACAAAGATCCAGTCAAAATATCAGTATCAACTCAATTTAGTGCTCTATCTACACAGCATTTGTTAACTCGTATTAGGAAAAAAAAAAAAAACCCAGTATAAACTGAATTCTGCTGGACTCAGCAATTAAGCTTCCAGATTTTGGAAGGTTACTTTAAGGAATTTAACTTTCATGTTTCAACATTCACATCAGCAGGAACTGCAGCAGTTTCAAGCCTGTAAATGACCTTACCTCATAAGATCTGAGACCTGAGGAGTTATGAGTGCAGTCAGCTTCCTTGTTGTTCTGTACTGTTGCAAAGATGAGCCAAGTACCAGTGCTCCTTTCACGTAGGAATCATTTGTGGCTAGAGTCACAAAAGACTGGTCTGGAAGAAATTAACTTGGTCAAGTTAGCATGATCCACTATTTTATTCCAAGACAGATATACTAGAAACCTAGTACTGTTAGATAGTCATGTTATAAGACCCCCAAGATGTGCCCTTTAACTCTGCGTATTGTGTCTACCCAGATAGCTGAATTAAGCAGATTATACTTACACAGCTATACTTCCTATTAGTAACTTTACACATGGCAAAATGCAGTAACACCCCCCTTACACCCTCCCCCCCCAGCAAAATCAAGACTGCTGCAATAGAATACCACTTTCAATTTGCCCACAGGTTAAATAAGTCATGCTAAATGTTAGACACAATCCAAAAGCTCTAGAGAGCCTTATTTTGGCCATCAATACAATATTAAGCTAAAAGTACTGGGAGTCACTGAGCTTGCATTTGGTCAAAGTTAGTAGTTCTGTAGAGTTACTCTAGGTTCAGCTCTCAACCCTGAAGCTAGGGCAGCATAAAATTTTCATTTCATTTTCAAATGAAAGCAAGTATTGAATTAGATCTTGGACAACAGTATTAAGTTTTGCTAGCTCAGGATTTTGCAGATTAGTTGTGCTGCAACCCATGGCTGCAGCTCAGTCACAGGAATGCAAGTTTTAAATTGGAAACAACCAGTAATATGATAAAATAAGACTTGCAACAACAGTTTTTGCTCTTTAAGCAAAAAGAAATAAGGTTGGATGGTTACTATCAGGTACTTTCTTCTGCTCCAGCTCTACCTTAAATGTAGATTAAGATGGATCACTTTGTCATATAATACAGGCTTTGCATTCTTTCAATTGTCAGGTTGTTTTAAGCTGCCAGGGTGGAACAGACAAAAGCAAACAAGTTCTTCAGTTCACTGTTAGCTATTGTCATGTAGACCTCTTTTTATAAAGCACTGTAGCTTGGAAAGGAAATGTGCTCTTTTTTACCAAACCTTTTTTGACAACATCAACAAAACCGCTTCTTCCCAGGAATTCTGAGAGTAGATTTTCACATTCAAATTTATTTTAAAAACTGTGATTTTTCTTTACAGAAGTTGTTAACTAGGCTAGATCAGGATGGAGAGTGAGGCTTCTGGGCACTTAGAGGCTTGCCATTAAGTCTAGTAGTAAGATTACCAAGTGTTCTACTACCAGAGAAACTGTTGTTTGGTACAGCTCAGTGCATGAGACAGTTGTCAATTACCTTTTTAACTTAATACTATCTTAACAGTTCACAACAGAAAGCCATGTACTACAACTGCATATAAGCACTGGAAGCCTGGTTTGCAAGCTCTATAGACCAGCTACAAAACTTTCTGTTTTGCTTAGCAGCAAAACCGACTAGTCCCAAGGGATTTAGATTATAGTGGCCAATTACAACGTTCAAAAAAAGCTTCTGCAATACCAGAAATAAAGTTTGTTGGGTTGATTTTTTTTATCCCAGCAATTCACTTTAGCTACCAATTTGTACTAGTACATATATTCAGCAAATGTACAGAATGCATTTATTTATGCTTTACAAACGGTAAGCATGTAGCATTTTAAGTGGTATAACATCCTCCTAATAGTGCAACATTTTGCATTACTTGATTTGCATGTTACTCCTCAACACATAGAAGTCTGCCACTCTGCTGGCTGACAGCTTACTAGAAATCCAGTGTAGATAAAGTGGGGCTGTGCCCAACATTCATCTGAATGTTGCCTTGATTTTATTTATGGTTTGTTTTGGGGTGTTTTTTTTTTTTTTTGTTGGTTTGTTTGTGGTTTTTTTTTCCCCCCAGCAGTGCAAGGCTAATTCTTAAAGTGGCCTTGCCATTAACCTTTCATTGAACTGTTAACAGGTGTACTTCTACCACATCTTACCTTGCTGAAACTGAGTATTCACAAAGGTTTTAGAGAAATAAAGTCAACTTAATGATGGAGTAAAGGCTAAAAAGCCCCCTGTTACATCCCAACCTCAGCAGGAAACTTTGCTTCACAGGAGGAGGATACTAGCAACTTGTAGGGCATCCAAGTCAGTACAGCTTTCCAAAGTTCTGAATGAATTATGTTCTGTCTCATACCTTCTCTAAAGTACATTCACACATACATTCAGATGTGTTATGAATGAGTCCATACTACAGCTTTGGCAACCAGTTGCTCTTTAATATAGAAGTTAGGTCTGCAAGACTAGTCTGTTCTACCAAAACCGCAAGTATTTCAGCTGTGTGAGTTTCCCTTCCTGTCCTCTCCCCCTCTCCATTCTCTGTGAACACTTCCTCTACAGTAGGTTATGTTCACACAGCAGTCACTGTTATGCCTGAAACATAATGAACTATTAGTAACAATGTGGCTGCAAAACCACTGAGAATGCGAGAGAGCTGCACAACTTCATAATTAATTTATCTAGGCAAAACCAAGCTACTTCAGAGACATCTTTGGCTGCCCAATTCATAGGCTATAGGATCCTTACACACCCCAGAGCATCCTGGAAGTCTGAGCTTCATGTGACAGCATGCAGGAGGGCATTAGAGTGCTTGCCCTAGATGTTCTGAAACTTCCCCTGAAAGCGTTTTCAGACACAGCCGAGTTTGCAGGTGTTTGCCTCTTCTCTGAGTTTGGTTCTAGCAACTTTTGGACCACAGGATTTCTAGGAACAGAAGCACCTAATCGAGACGTGCATCAGAAGGCAGAGCATCAGACTCGCTGCAACCTTCCAGATCCGAAAGTAAAACCGACTCCACTGACAGCTTGAGGTAAGGCAAGGATCGTGAAAACGCATCAAAGCGCACGGCGGCTGCACGCTCTCCTCAGCCTTTCGGGAGAGAGCTAGCTTTTCCCCTCCGAGCCGCTGCGGCCCTGCAGTGACCCCCCCAGACGCTCCTGCTCTCCCGCACGCTGGCCGCATCCCGCCCGCTGGCGATACTGGTGCCAAGGAAGGAGGGCGGCTGCACCGGCAGCATCCCTTCCAACCGCGCGGCGGTGCCGTGCCCGCAGGGACGCCTCCATTCCCCCCCCGCGTGCAGCCCTACCCCCACCGCCGTCGGCACGGGCTCGCCGCGTGCTGGCAGGGGCCGGCACCTAAAAATAGACTCGGGCCGGGCCGGGCCCCGCCGCGGATGGAGCGCCACCGGGGGCGCGCGGCGGCCCCGCGAACGCGGCCCGCGCCGCCAGCAGCCCTCGCGAGTCGCGGCGCGCGTGCCGGGCGCCCGCGGGGAGCGGTGGCCGCGCCCACTGACCTGCCATGGCGCCGGGTCCGCGGGTCCGCTGCGGGAGAGGTGCGGCCGCGCTCCCCGAGTCGAGCTCGCACTGACCCTTATATAGGGGCGGGGCCACGGGGCAGACGTCTGCGGCCGGAGGAGGAGGCCCCGCCCTAAGGAATCCCCGCGTCGCCGGGGGGCGGGGTCTCCGCCATGGTCTCGGGCGGTGGCTGCACGCTGTATCCCTCTTCTGGCATGGCGGGGCCCGCGCAGGGGCGGCCGGGCAGCGGGGACGAGGGTTTGTAGGGCGTCGTGAAGAAGTACTGTCTTCCCTGGTGCCTCCTAGGCCAAATGGAGCTTTAAAATGTGCCACCGTGCGGACAGAGGATAGGACCCCATATCGGGATGGTGTGGCTCTGATTTGCAGCATCGGTGGCACAGCAGTGTTCCTCCTGTGTCCGTCGAGCCCTGCAGGAAAAAGCAGTAAAACCACGCTTGGCCAAAAGGCACCTGAAGCAGCAAGGAACGCACTTACAGCATAGGCAAACGCCAGACAACCCTAGTCCTGTGGCCGTTTTGGGGTAATGTGTGGGCTGGTGATCCATTGCTGATAACTACCACAAAATGATAGCTGAGGATGGTGTTCACATGAGGGACCTGCATGCACAGTTGGGATCACTGGTGGGCTTCGAAATGCAGGTGTTGACACAAGCAGGATTACTGGAGGTTGGTTGGTGGGAGCTGCAGGAGGTTATGGGATGGCAGGAGAGTCCCTTGGGAAGGTGTGAGGTGTTTTAATTGGAAGGGTTACACCATCATGCTTCTGTTCAGCATAACTGGTACTGTTGGCAATGCTTGGTACTTCAGGAGGTTGTGTGTCAGAAGGTGAGATGCGGAGATATACCTACACTTACATATTTTCTTTATGGCTCAGTTTCAGTCCTTGAAGAAATTTAAGCTGTGCTTCCTTTTCAGGACTATAGGAAGGGTTTCTTGTGCTTTTCTTTATAACTTTTGCAAGCATTAACAGTATTAAGACTGTAATACAGATCCTTTGTTATTCACATGACTCTTTACCTACTAAGCAATTAAAAATTATGACAAATAGCTAAAGGCATAGATGTACAAGATGGCCTAACTGAAGAGATTTCACAGAATCATGGACTGGTTGAGGCTGGGAGGTTATCTGGTCCAGTCCTGCTGTTTGAGCAGGGTCATACAGAGCTGGCTGCATAAGACCATGTCCAGATGGCTTCTGAGTAGCATTGTATGCCAGTGCTTGGTTACGCTCACAGTGGCAGTGTTTCCTGATGTTCAGAGGGAACCTTCTGTGTGTCAGTTTGTGCCTGTGGACTCTGGTCCTGTCACCGAGCACTGCTGGAAAGAACCTAGCTCCATTTTCTTTATGCCCTCCCTTCAGTTACTTACATACATCATCGTAGTGAGACTGAGCTTTCTTTTCTCCAGGCTGAACAGTCCTAGACTTCTCAGGCTTTTTTTCATAGTACAGATGCTTTCTTGACCCTTCATCATCCTTATGGCCCTTTGTTGGACTCTCTCTAGTATGTCCATGTGTTTCTTGTACTGGGGAGCCCAGCACTGGACAGAGTCTTCCAGGTGATGCCTCACCAGTGCTGAGCAGAGGGCAAGGATCACCTCTGTCAAACTACTGGCCATGCTTTTGCCTAATGCAGCCCAGGATGCCATTCACCCGCTTTGCAGCAAGGGCACTTTGCTGGCTCACGTTCAACTTGGCATTTATGAGGACTCCAAGGTCCTTTTCTGCAGTCTGTTGTCTTCCTCAAGACAATGACCTATACCTGCTTTTTCACCAAGAATAACCTGAGGAAAATCTGTTAGGAAGCGGATACCTTTCCAACCTGAAATGGCAAAGGGGTTTTGTCATGAAAGGATTTAAAAACCAAACAAGCCCTCAAATGCAAAGTGATGAACAAAGAACATTTCACCTCCAATTTACCCAATATAGAAAATTATGTTTGAGCTGACACAATTTTTGTAGGCATGTCTTAAAATCAAATTGCTTACTTTTAAAAATGCCAAAGTCAGGGAAGTGCTCCTTGACCAAGAGAAAAAAACACCCAAACTTTTAGAACATACAAGTAATTTATAAAACAGCATGTGCAAAAAAATGCATGAATCACAATTACAGTCAATGCTGGTATGTTGTATGTGAGTAGGATTTACTAATATTTTTCCCAAATGCAGCTCTTTTTCAGGTATCCACGGCTTGATAGACTTTCTCTGTAATGGTGTTGGGCATGGTTTGTGTCTGTCTCAGATGAAAGTTTTGAGAAGTTTTTAGCCAGCACATTTCAGCTGCGTCTAGCTTGTTGCTTTGCCAAGTTTTGAGAGAAAACAATAGAATAGCCGCTGTTGGTGACTGCCCTCTCCGCCGCCCCTCTGGCTCCTTTGTATTGTGTTAGAGTGGAGCAAAAGGGCATAATTCCTTCTGGTTTCCATGTTAAACGATAAAACAAACAATCAATTAGGTTTGTCGGTGTTAAGCTTTAAAGTGTGACAGAGAAATGCTCCCCTGCCCCTATGCACACTCCTGTTTGCACACGCGTGTTTGAGATTTTTCAGATGCTTATGATTGAACAGGCTGTAAATTCAATGGCTCTCTTGTGTGACTGGATTATGCGTACATGCATGCCCTTGTACTGACTGGTTAACACTCCTTTCCCCACAAGGGGAAGAGTCACAGGAAGAACCTGAGGGATAGTTCGGTGTCCCGTTGGCTTCCAGGTCAGAAGGAAGAAAAGATCATGTCACATGAGAACAGAAGAGCAAACTGGAAAAAAGAACCCAAAAACGGAATGCTTGAGACAAGCTCTGAGGAGATGAGAGCTAAGATGGGAAAGCATCTAAGCCTAGGACACTATAGGACTTTATAAAAATCTGGTGAGGAGGAAGAAGGAATGCATTTTGCTGGATAAAGAGGCAGACAACATTTGGAAAGAATGGACGAAGTGCTGCATAGCAGCTCATTAGTGCATACTGGCATACTGAACAAGGGGCACATCCTATGGAAAATTAGCTTGTGATTATGCAATTACAAAATTACATCACAGTGTGTATCACAGAAGTTGCATTGTGCATTATGGAACATCCTATTTTTAATGACTAATATTGTTATTTTAGTAGGAGCTTGTCTATAAATTAAGTAAAAAGACATTTCACAACACCAAATACTAAGAAGTAGCTTTGAAATGCAGTTAGGATTTACATAGCAGTAACAGAAACAGCTACCCGCATAACTGTGTTAAGTGTAAACTTCTAAAGCACTTGGTTAGCCATTTACACTTTATATAATAATTTTTCAAATGTGCACTACGAGTCTAAACATTAAATTAATAAAATGTTGTAAGGCAAGTTTGAATATAAAACATTATTTCTGCCTCTGCCAAATCTGGAGGAAAAAAGAAAAATAGTCGACTCTATGCATTCACTCTGTTTGAAGTACTGGAATTCAGTTTTCAGAGCACTGCAACTGAAATGATAATCTGTCTAGTTAGGAAAGAGTTCCATTGTGTGAAGTGCATAGATGGGTGTATAAAAAGAATATAGCCTGATTCAAGACTCTGCTGAGAGGTTTGATTCCATTTTTGTCCTGCCATCTCTGTCTTGCCCTGTCATAAACTTCCCTGATGACAAAAATTGTTCTGGGTCATCCCCTCAGTCTTCTGAACCCCTTCTCACCTTGACCTTACTGTGAAGCTAAGACTGGACATTTATTGTTTGAGAACTTAGAATGGTCTGCTGAGAATTTTAAAATTTGGCACAAAATTTTTGTAGGGCTGGGAGTTCTGAAAATCTGAAAGGGGTAGATTTAGCTTAGACCCACTATGAGCATGGCGAGGCGCTGGCACAGGTTGCTCAGAGAAGCTGGTGCTGTCCCATTCCTGGCAGTGTTCAAGGCCAGGTTGGACAGGGCTGTGTGCAGTCTGGTCTAGTGAAAGGTGTCCCTGCCTGTGGCAGAGGGGTTGGAACTAGATGGTTTTTAAGGTTCCTTCCAACCCAAGCCATTCTATGATTTCAGTATAATCTAACTTATTCCAGTAGGACTGAATAGGCTTTGGTGTTTCTATTTGAATAATTAAAATATAATGCTGTCACTCCATCTTAATCTCTTTTCCTAATGGGCATTTTCTTTGCCTGTCCCAGAGTCCATTCACAGTTTTGGCCTCATTTCCTTCAAAAACATTCACCTATTATATCAATGCAATAGTCTCCTGCCAAGCTAGGTTCTATTTTCTGAATCTTAGAATCAAAGAATAGTTAGGGTTGGAAAGAACCTTAAGATCATCTAGTTACAACCCCACTGCCATGGGCAGGGACATCTCACACTAAACCCTGTCACCCAGGGCTTCATCCAGCCTGGCCTTGAACACTGCCAGGGATGGAACATTCACAACCTCCCTGGGCAACCCATACCAGTGCCTCACCACCCTTAAAGAATTTCTTCCTTATATCAAATCTAAACTTCCCCTGTTTAAGTTTTAACCCATTACCCCTTGTCCTATCACTACAGTCCCTAATGATTAGTCCATCCCCAGCATCCCTATAGCCCCCTTTCAGATACTGGAAGGCTGCTATGAGGTCTCCACCCAGCCCTCTCTTCCCCAGGCTGAACAGTCCCAACTTTCTCAGCCTATCTTCATACAGGAGGTGCTCCAGTCCCCTGATCATCCTCATGGCCCTCCTCTGGACTTGTTCCAACAGTTCCATGTCCTCTTTATGCTGAGGACACCAGAACTGCACACACTACTCCAGGTGAGGTCTCACAAGAGCAGAGCAGAGGGGCAGGATCACCTCCTTTGACCTGCTGGTCACGCTTCTTTTGATGCAGCCCAGGATACGGTTGGCTTTCTGGGCTGCAAGCGTACACTGAAGCTGGCTCATGTTCATTTTCTCATTGACCAGCACCCCCAAGTCCTCCTCCGCAGGGCTGCTCTGAATCTCTTCTCTGCCCAGCCTGTAGCTGTGCCTGGGATTGCTCCGACCCAGGTGTAGGACCTTGCAGTTGGCATGGTTAAACTTCATGAGGTTGGCATCAGCCCACCTCACAAGCGTGTCAAGGTCCCTCTGGATGGCATTCCTTCCCTCCAGCGTATCAACCGAACCACACAGCTTGGTGTCATCGGCAAACTTGCTGAGGGCGCACTCAATCCCACTGTCTATGTCAGCAACGAAGATGTTAAACAAGACCGGTCCCAACACCGATCCCTGAGAGACACCACTCGTTACTGGTCTCCAGCCGGACATTGAGCCATTGACCACAACTCTTTGCATGTGGCCATCCAGCCAGTTCTTTATCCACTGAGTGATCCACCTATGAAATTGATGTCTCTCCATTTGGAGACAAGGATGTCGTGTGGGACAGTGTCAAACGTTTTGCACAAATCCAGGTAGATGACATCAACTGCTCTAGCCCTGTCCATCTTGCATTTGCTTGGTGTTTTACTTAACACATGGCAATGACCACATTCAGCTGTTTAATGATTCCTTGTAGCTAACATGATAAAACAAACACTTATATAAGCAGTGAAATAAATATATCTCAGTTTCTTTTGAT